CTCTGTGCTTATCTATGTATCAAAGAAAACAAAGTTGCTCAAGAACCCCAATAAATCCTTTCTTACCAATCTAGACTGCACAAGAAACTGAATTCTGCTTTGCTACAATCACGAAAACAACTGTGATTTTACTGACTTCAGGGAGTGTACCGGTAAATACTCCTTCTATTTATTATAATTGCACATCTAATTAAACAGTTCACAAAGGTGGGTGGGGAGGAATATTAGACTTCTAACAGGGCACTCAGGGCATGAGTGCACGTTGCCTTCTGTCCAGTACTGTGCGATTTCACTAGCAGTTCAGGAAGAAAAAACCACAATGACAGATGTCTGCTGGAGGCACATAACCCCTTCAGCTCTAAGGGGTACATTTTTGGCTAACAGAACTGCTTAGTCCCAAGAGCTAATGAACAGCACCTTTGTCTTATGCTTTGCTCTATTAAGAGGTATAATGAAATGCAACACATAATTTCCTGTAATTTATCGCTTTTTGCTAACACCTAGCAATGTTGCATAGTGTTAAATCTTCTAGCTCATGCTCTCCTCCCATCTGCCACTTGATGCAGAAGGCTTCGAGCAGCAGCCTCCGGTGCCCATTGTAAATTAATAACGGCTCTAGGAAAAAGATAATTTCTCCCGCCAGTGCAGAGAAGCCACTCATCAATGCAGGAAAACCAGGGCAGAATAAGCTGGGGTGCACAAAGCACTTCGGGGAACGGGTCCACGTGAAATGTTCTGACTGGGCTGACGTAGAGATGCTGAGCACTGATAAACTCAGCCTGCTGGCAGCCGTGTAGGCGCATCCCCTCGCTGCCAACGTGCTGCGGGGAGGCTGTGCTCCAGCCGGGGAGACTGCTGGTCCAGCCAGGGCTCAGGGTGGGTTCTGTCAGCCTTGAAGCTTCAGGAGTTGAAACAAACCCCACATTGAGTAAGAGACTTCCATGTTCGGCATGGCTAAAGACAAGTGAGCTGATAAGAAGGTTTCTTTGCAACACCAATGTTTAGTTTCGTGCCTACGTTCTTATCCTTCCTGCTATTATAACATGTTCTTCCGTTACTGGAGTGAGCCACTGTGAATACAGCAGTGACTCACGTTTCCATGCCTTTAACTAGCCATATTACAGTTGAAGGAAAATCCCACTCCAACTGCTGTGCAAAATAAATTTTACAGACCCCAACAGCACCAGAACAAGGTCCAAAGTGCAACAACTCGGTAAAAATCTTAGTAGGCCTGCAGTCAGCTCTGCAGCTGGCTGTCAGGGAACTGGCAGTACAAATCCTACATACAAAGTGCGTGAGCCTCCGTGCGTGAAAAGCTGCTTAGTGCCACACGTTTATGCAGCACTTCCAGATGCCTGGGCTCATACATAAAGCAATGCTGCGGGGAAACAAATACACATAAACATAAGTATGCATAAACAACCCGTTCAAAGCAGCACTGCCCACATGAAGGAGCGCCCATTGCACAGCGTTGGTTTCCTCCTAGTGGACCAGCGTGTGACTGCAGGGCCGGCCACCACCGTTTGAAATTGTCCGGTAGATTAACGGCGCTTGGAGGAAATGTGCAGAAAATACCTGCAACTTACAGCTGTCTCCTCTTCAAGAATGCCGATTCTAGAAGTGCTTGACTATTTGACATTCAGACGATTTTGATGAGTCACGCTCAGTTACTGCAGAACCAGTACTTCAATTTGTTTACCTTCCTAATGAACACTTACATGTTGAAAAATAACAATGTAGAACAGAAATACAGTTTTACTCTGGGACAGGAATCCTTCACTGATTTAATATGAAGGATTTGTACCACATTTTCAAGTAGGAGTTTCAGTGCGATATGAAAATTGGACATTTGCAGAAGAATTTCTTTATGGTTAAAACTTGGCAAAGTTCTAACTAATTCACTTCATATTCTAGAGATTATTTGAGGAAAGCACTAAAGAACAGAGATTTCAGAAAACACTGCAGCAGGCAAGCACTCAGACTATCAGAACACGATTTTCTAAGAAAAAAGTACTAAGAAAAAAAATGAAGTGTTCTCTGTGATGCTCATCAAGACTGCTGGCAAGTTTGTTTCCTCAAAGCATCTCTTTTCATTCTCATGTTCAAACAGCTCACATATTTGAGTTAACAGGAGCTTTTATAGAATCACAGAATCATTAAGGTTGGAAAATACCTTCAAGATCATCAAGTCCAACCATCAGTTGTACCACTAGGTACAGTACAGAAAATTGTACATACATCAAAATAAGATTTAACCACTTTGTGTCAATATTCAGAAACGTGACGCTTCTCCAAAACACACTCTGGATCTCCAAGACGCTTCTGCAAAACACACTCACCAGGGTGTAAATCAACAAAGACTCTGCATCTTTGCTTCCCAGGAACAAAAATTTCTCATGGAGCCCACTTCCCTGACTCCCAAACTTCAGGAAATGTTTTATTGGCAAACTCCAGGGAATAGTTTTATGACTTGGGAGACTCATATGAAACTTCAGGACTTCATCTCTCAGAACATTAATGCAGTTTTCAGTGAACTTTTATTCCTTGAAGAGCAGTCAGGCTTTGCTGCTAACAGGAAAAGAAGTCTCAGAAAGAAAATCCAACCCAGACACAGGTTTATGATTACAGCAGCATTGGCATACAGCACTACTCACAGCGTAACTCTCCCCTGAAAGAAACAGCACACCCACGAGATAACACAGACATTACAATCTCAAGATTAAGATGAGCTCAAATGTGTATTTGACAAAAATACAGAAATATCCAGTGTCATGTTCTAACAATACAGAAATAACTTTGTTTTGGATAAAAGCAATGTATTTGATAATTTAAGGTTAAAACAACTTTCCATTTGCATCAGTACTCAGCCAAGTAAAAAATATCAAGCATCTTTACAGTCAAGACAGGAAGAAAGGATAGAAACTAAATGTATTTTACTGCAACTTCTTACAAGTAGAGGTCTCTCACAGACAGTAGTCGCCCCTACTATAGCAAACCACCTGCAAACCCTCTTTTCTCTGCCTCTGTGCTACCGTCTCTACTTTTGTGCCTTCTGCCACAGTTCAGACCACTCAGCTAAAACCTCAGCCTCTGAAAGTCTCACACTGAGAATATGCAAAATATTTTCTTCAATCTTAACCAGTCATGCCAACCACACCTTAAAAAAAAAAAAATTTAATAAAACCTCTACTGCCCTGATCGTCTGGAAGAGTCCTTAAGGGTCCAGGTTAACAATGTCAGCTTCTCGAAAAGGCCTTTCCTCTAACTCTGAGGTAGTCAGTCTCTCAGTCCTAGAACATTGAGGGCTCAATCTTATACAGGCTGTTACTACACTCATGGACTGGGTTTAACACAAAACTGGCCTCTGCCACCCCACTCTTTGGGTTTTTATTTATATTCCTTCGCATGTAGATAAATCAAAGCTATTTAAGGAAACCATCATGATGCCCATTAATGCAAGCGTGTCAGACAAGGGCCATACAAAAGGAGGACAAGAGTTCTCCTTGTCTCATCTTTCCTTTCCCCCTTGTTTCTAACTGTCACTAAAGCCCTTCCTTGTCCATGTCAGTTCTTTTAGTAAAATTAGCTGAACCACGTTAACAGTTAGCCCAGGGAGGCAGGAGTTATTTAAGACACATAGAGCCTAAGGCCACTTAGTAGGTAAGGTGCGCCTCCTCCCTCCGCAGCTGTAAGAGTCCTCCGGAACCAGCCAGAGCAATGATGAAGCAGACAGTAATGATAGGTGGGGTTTTAGTTTTTATTTTAGCTTCCGGAATAACTCAGTATAGCCTCCCCTAGAGACGTGTCCTGTGGTCTGGGGAAGTTAGCTTCACTGCCAGAGACTGCAAGTGAAACTAAGGCTTTCTAGCAGCAAAGAAAACCCTGCCACCCCCTGCCCATCACTCTTTGAGCACTTGGTTATTATTCCACTTGCCTATTAAGAAAGCTCTCACAGAGACCATCTTCCTAGTCCTACTCTAAATACAGGTCTGCCGTTCCGGTATTATGTTCTTGATAGCATACGGTAGTAGGGTCAAGTTTCAACGGCGCTGTAAAATCAAGGTAAAGTTGCCCTTTAGCCCCATCGTGCTTTAAGCCTTTTATGTTGTCTGTTCATAGTTAGCAATTTTAAATTTGTTTTTTAACAGAAGCCACACAGAACAGTAGTGTAACAGGCCAATCATGACACCTGCAGAAAATGCAGCATAACCGGAGGTTAAATTGCATTTTGGCACCATGATTTGTTTCCTGCCGCTGCCTTTTACAGAAATCTATCCAGACCTGTGACTTTAGAACCTGTCCAGAATTAAGATCTACCTTTTGAACACATTTTCTACTGAATAGACTCAGAGTAGTACACATGTATTTGAAAATAATTGAATACCTATTTTCTGCTGAAGTACATTCTGTGCGTCATTTTTGTTTCATACTCAATGAGAGGGTACACACACTTTACAGGACAAAATTTAAACCATGACTACTGAGTAAATTATGCATTGTAGTGATTAAAACAAGACAAGCACCAGAGAGAATACACATGCTGAAGCCTCATGTAGATACTGCACTGGAAAGTTTTCAGTGACATGACAAAGAATTTGTGATTCTTCCCCCAGTTACAAGTGAGCAGAGGATTTGTCAGATATTCATTTTGTAGCTTCTATTGTATGCTCTATGCCTCCTTCCTTTTGATGATCAGAGGCCCAACGTTGTCACCAGTTTCCTCGTTGTGCTTAGTGTGAGAGCCATCACACAGTGGGAACTGAAAAGAGAAAGAATAAACACATCTAAAGCACATCCAGAGTCAGAATTAAGAACCTGGGTTGAAAGTTCATTAGAAAGTCTTCTCATTAAATCCACTGTGACCACAGACCATAACTTTTGTGCTGTTGTCTCAGGTCTCCCTGAATTTTGGCTGAACACTAGTTTTGTCCATGTGAGCACAGAGTGGACGAGAGGCTTGTTAAGGAAACTCCATTGTATTTGGTGTTCCTACCTCAGGCCAGCATGAGGACAATGCAGCCTAAACTGACCTTCAACTGTAACCTACCTGGAGTATCTCGCTCTTAATCTCACCCCACACTGCATTTTCCTAGGCAACAGCCAGAGTTGAATGCAGTTACAGAAGACAAGTGGGGTGAGGAAGAGAAACAGGAGGAGATCCAAAGCTGAATTTTTTTTCCTGGTTTTCCATGGCACATGATGAGAAAAAGGACAGTTTCCCTAGCTCATCTCTTCGAGACACTTACATAGTAGTGCTGCTTCCAGGCAGCTAGAGTAGCAAGCTGCCTGTGCTTCATCCTGACACAGCTAGCTCATCTCATCAACACAAAGGTCCCTTTGCACAAGCTGGCTTCCACATTAGGATTCTGACCTGCTCATTGAAATAAACTGCACTTCAACCAACACGGCTATTCATCAGGGGGTTTTAAGGGTAGCACTGAGGAAGTAATTTGAAGAAATGTTTGCTCCATAAAAAAACCCCCAGAACAGCCTGATCAGAGCAAGACCCAGGGGGTCTTGCTGGTTAACTGTAACTGCCCAGGTTCCAGACCAGTCACAACCACTCTGCTCCTTGGCAGCAATTTTCACATGCAAGAGCCAAAGGACATTCTGTGAAGCAACAAGAGTGAGGTTAGATCCCATCACTGCTCAAGGACGCTTTTTCAGGCCTATGCCTCCTCTGCAGAGGAAACTCTGGAGATGATAACAGAAATCACACACCGGTATTTTGCATTCAGTAACTATTTCGTTTGCTTAGAAGTAATGGGAATCAGAGTTGGGCATTATTCATCTGTTGCCTTTGCAACAGCAATATTCCCTTGCAGTACAGTTACAATCAGTCTTCAACGCTCCACTGATCCCAATGTTCATGCCTCAGTCATAGCCCTTGAAAAAAATTAACACCCTATCACCCACGCTTGGTTAGAATAAAAGATTTCAAAGTACTCCATGAAAACAATATAATGAAGACAATATACTTGCAAAAAAAATTCTCAGAGCTCTAAAAACAGAGCCACATGCCCTGTAGAGCACTGGTGGGGTGTGGGGGAAGAGAGGTCAGGTGGGGTTTTTTTTGTTTTTCACAGTTACAAAATGTCAAACCCATGCTATAAATGACAGGTGATGTTTCTGAATAAAGAAACATTTTTGTATTGTATTCTCTGCATTCAGAGAATACTCACGTAAGCTAATTCATGCAGGAACTTTAACATCAAATCAAATCAGTCATTTGTGACTTAATGAGTAGGTACTGACAGATACATGGAAAAAATCCGAGCAAATAAGAATGTATGTTCTTGGGACACTGATCAGCTTCCAACCCAGATGTTCCTGGGCCAGTTGTTCTTCCATGCAATACCACAGTCCACTGGTCATCATGGAAGCACTGACCCAGCTTCAATCAGACATTAACAACTCATATGGCCCAAGGAGGCAAGCCCAAAGTCCAGCTACAGCAACATCATCACTTCAATTTTGCAACTGACAAAAATGGTGGGATTCATAGGCTTCAGATAGCATTGAGACATCCTTAACAGCTACCAACTCTGTCTGCTCTGAACTCATGCTCTGGGTCAGCTGGTCTCAGAACCACTGGCTCCCAGAAGCTGGGACACTAGACTTGAGCTTCTCAGAAAAAACCCCAACACTTTTCCAGAGCACCCGCTTGGTCACCTTGATGACCAGATACTGAATAGATGGATCCTGGACCTGACAACATATTCATCCTTGATTAAGATAAAGCAGGCTAGCAATAGCAGCCAAAGCTTACAACCTGAGGGAACTGTGCAGTGACCTGGACAGCTCAGCTTATTTCCCTTCACACCAAATAGGTTAAGATTCTCTACCACTATTTATTCTGATGTTCTGCAGTGGTATTCCTCAACCTACAGCCCAGGGACTAATACTTATCTAGAAGACAGAAGTTGCAGGTCATTGCAAAAGAAAGCAAATTAATTTCACCCCCCCAGCTCACACACTTAAAAATGCAGCAGAGTAAGAAAACAAATGTTCTAACTTTAGACTAATTACAGTTTGATTTTAAGACAAAACTCTTGCCTCTGTACTGGTAAATTTCAACACTGGCTTCTTCCACAAAACCTGACAAGCAGTGCTACAAAGTGCCTGCAGAGCACAATACTGAATAGGAAAGGGCCATTTAAAGAACTACCTACCACCTACTTTAACAGCTAATTACATCCCAAGACAGGCTTATTTGAAGATACCACATGTAGTTTTTTTGAACACACGCACTCCATGAAGACTTTGGCCAGCACAAACCAACCAAAAAAGCCTCTGAAGTATACCATTTCAGAAAAAAAAAACAAAAAAAAAACACCACTGAAAATAATCCTGCTCATTTTTCAGGAGTTATTCCAAAACACCGTGGTATAGTCCAACTGTTTTGTTATTCCTCATCCAGGAGGAACAGCCTGTGAAGCCAGCTGTAGTGCATGCACACCATCAGTGCTCACGAAGTATCCTATGGTTCCTGACGCTACTGGTTCTATTAACAGCCTCATGCCTCAGATGAGGCTAAATCTGATGAGAAGTGCTCACACAGTCATACAAGAGGACAAGCTGTGTATGGGAATAGAGATCCCCATAGGCTACTTATTTAACAAAAACAGAGCGGGTATGTATTGCTTTTGAAGTAATTGTAATTCCCTGCATTGGACGCACACACATTCTACCATTCTGCCATTATACAAACACTGTCTTACAAATTTTAACAGGATCTTAGTTTGAGAACTGTAAAAAACAAATAATGCTAGCTAACTACTTCCAAAGATGATAAGCATGTGAGAAGATGAAGAATGTCTCTATATTTTATTACGGCTTGGCAGTAACTGACGATGAGAAGCAGCACACACATCATCTTCAAGATCATGCTACCCACCATACAAGGCCAACTGCTCAGGGCAAGAGGAAGGCAGCAAAACTGGAAACTGCAGTCTTTGAAGTACAACATGCTGATTAAAATACTCATTGTTAAGCATCAGTAAAAGAAAACAAATGCCTTCAAAATCTTCCACTGACCTTGTTAAAGCCTTTACAAGTCATTTCGTATCAGAGTTCCAAGAATGGACTCATGTCACACTAAAAAGACAGTACCAAACAACAGCTAGAATATTGGCAGGATCTGCAATGCAACCACTAAAATCAGACGCTGTCTTCCATTTCTCTTTAGAAAACCGAGTGGCAAGCAGAAACTACAAACACCAAGGTTTCACGTTCGGGGTTTTTTTTATTGCAGAAGCCCTGAAGGAAGTGCCTACACTATGCAACCCAGAGTAAATCCAAATTCAAATACTAAAATGAAGTGCAGGTACTCAGAGCAGCCTTTCTCCTCCCCCTTTTTCTTTTCTGAAGCTGTAACCCTTGTGGCAGCTTCCAATGCTGGATTCTGGCTGTCAGTGGAGACTTAAGACAAAAAATTTAGAGGCAATGCTGCTATACACATGCATGATACCTGCGTGCTGTACACCCATCAGCACTGCATGTAAATGTACACACTTCCCTGTCATATAATCATAGATATGTATCTTAGCCCATGGACCACACTGTGGCAATGGCAGGGAACTTTGTTTTTCAGTTCAGACTCCGGACAGAGCAAAGACAAGAATCCCATCTCCACAAGACTATTTCAGAATCAAGTCATGATGCTGTTTAATCCTCGGTAGTGCTTTTAGTGTAAAACCAAATACAGCTACAAATGTGTAACTTCCTGAGTTACCTTCACCCGCAAGGTAACTGAAGTCAGATCTGACAACAGCAAGAACCGAAAGTTACAGTACCTGGAAAACTGCAGAGTGTGGCCCAGTTAGACCCATGTCTAAGGCTTGAGAAGTCTAGTATTCTATTCACTGATGGGAGAGGCTGTTGACCTTAGGTATCTGGCTTTGAAAGTCTGTATTGTTTCAGTCTCCACACATTAGCATCTTGACTTCTAAACAAAGCTTTTAAACGTGTGCCAGTGGTAAATGGAAAGGACTACTCAGACAATTCACTTTCTCTCACTACAGATCCCAGAACTACCACTACAGATAAATTACACCAATCTCAGTTACGTCAAATGTCACGCATCTCTGCCTCAGATTTAAATCTGATCTTAGTGTTATTGAAAGGCTATGTATCATGCTTACCACTAATTTTACGCAACTGAGGCAACCCAATTTCAGATGCAAGCTGAACCAGTGTCTAGGTCAAACTCTTAATTACTCAAAAATAGAAGCCTATAGTATGCCATCCTGATTTCACTGTCTTTACTGTAGGACTACCCATATAACTATTTTGAGTTGCTAAGGCACAAATGCATTAAGTCCATCTGTCTAGACTCTTCAAAAGCTTTTAACCACAATGACTTCTTTTTAGATTACCTCCATCACTGCTGGAAACAATTCACCACTGTATTCATTCACATGGGAAAAGGCAGCTATCTACCATACACATCAGTATTACAACAATAAATTCAGGACAGAACATCAGTACCACCGTACCACCATCTGTGCAAGACAGGCTCTTCCAAAAACCATTCTGCACTCTCTGCAAGTGACAATTTGACACCAGCTATGGTATACCAAGAGACTCCTTAATGGAATAGATCTGTATTATTAACACTATGAACTCGTAGCAAGGCACTTTCTGACTGGCAGAGTAAGCTTCCAACTTTCTTCGGTGGAAGGTGTTTAATGTCCTCTCAGACTGTTGTTCCTGAGCTCCTACTGCCAACGGGCCAGTAGTTTTGTATAAGCCTCAGTATTAGCAAAGGCAGCACACAAAATGTTATCTGTCATTCATGACTGATTGCTCCATACAGTGGCTCTCCTTTCAAGGGATCTGCTTCTTCAGAGCTACAGAAACATGTTGTTCGCTATTAGCACTGATCTGCAGGCTTTACTCTGAGTGACAGCACACATATACATATTTTTATGCATTAAAATACTGCTACATCTCACTGCAGAATAGTTTAGGTGAAGTTAGCTTCCTCTAAATAGAGCAGTTTGAAAATAGTTTTGTTGAAAGATGCTTGCACATGAATGACACTGGACCATTTATTCTCTTACCTTCTTAGATCTCCAACAACGACAGTACACAGCCTTGTCTCCTAAATCTTCCATATCAAATGCATGGACTACCTTGGGGTTATCCTTCTGGATATGTGGATTCACCATTGCTTTGCAGCACTTGTCTTTACAGAGCAATTTTTTGTAAGCTAAATACCCAATGGCAGCTGCTCCAGCAGCTAAGGAGACTGCAGCAATCCATTCAACTAGAACAACAGAGAAGAAAAAAAGAGAGACTGTCACTTTTGGGCCACAACATTCACTAAAACTACACAGCAGTAAATGTCTTCATGGTTATGGCAAAAACAACTACTTTCCAACAGATCTTTTTGTTCTGTAGTGGTACAGTACTTTAGAAAAATATACTCTTTAGACATTCACCTAGTTAACATACTCCTTTCTCCTGATCAGAGTTCTCCTTCACTCCAATCACTTCTACACAAGAGTGAGGATTAACCTGGCAGGGTTCGGGTTTTGTTTCTTTTTTTACCTTTTATTTGGGAACATGTGATACCAACATCAGTAGTACACTGCTTCCAAGTTCAGCACATTAAACCAGCCATAAGTACACCATGTAGCAGCAAAAAAACTGTTTCAGTTGAGGGAAGTCACTAAAGAAGAATGCTCTAGCATCACCAACCCAAGCAGGATCTCCACCCTCCCCACCCCCCCAAGTATGGGTACTGAGTACCTTTTAATATAATGCATCTTGCAATTAAAAACGTTAACGCCTGTTTGGCAATGGGGAAACTGTTGATATACTACCACTTCAGAAGAGTAACAAAAGCCAGCTTAGATGAAATCCCTACTATGGTGTACAGGAAAGAATACAGATCCAAAAAGATTATATTTAAGAATCATAGCACAAGTTTATTTTAACTGGATTAGGTCCCGACTATCTGAAAGACAACTTCCATTAAAAAATCCTCTTTCCATCACCTCCCATCCTCACTTTTTCCCCCTCTCTAGACATCTCTAAAATCTTTGCAGTCTCGCTCACTTGGTATCATTTCCTGTTATGCAAGGTGTTCTCCTACTTTTTTGTGGCTCTATTGTTTGCTCTCTGCCTCATGAAAATATGCTGGACTTTTGCCCAAAGGTTCTGGTTGTGGTGACAGCCCCAGTCATTTCTCTCAAAGCTGCAGACAGCTGCTCCTCTTTTGCTTTTTATCCACCACTTCTACTCACACACGTACTCCTAACATGTGCATACAGAGTTCGGCTGACTACAGACAAATAAATCAAACAGGAATTGAAGTTTTAGCACATTTACACAACTTAAGAAAACCAAAACAGTATCCAGTTGGTAATTCCTACCTTGCCCTTCAATGTTTGCTTTGAAGCCAAACGCCAAGCCACATGGCACCTTTGGGGCAAGAGACCTTACTACCTTAACTCTGAAGGATAAGAAGAAACAAAAAGGCTTTGTTAGTTCTTGCTACGGCTACCTTGCCTTGCTGTATTGCCACTGTGAGCTTGCACTAAAAGGATCAAGAAGGTTTCCTGCCCTAACAGCCTTTTTTAAAATCCGTATTAAGCCCTTTCCTAGCTAAAACATTGCTTTAGCTCACATGTACTATGCTGATCCACAAGGATCTGGATGTAGCTGTACACTGAATTAGACAGATGTCTGTACAACGTCTGCAGGCCTGTAAGATCAGGGAAGGCAGGCTCTCCTTTAGAGTCTTAGTTAAGGAGGAAGAGATGCAGAAATCCTTCAGAGTTCATTTTCTTAGTAAATGAAGCAGAAGAGACCAGCATACACCGAGACCTCCCCTGCAAATGAGTGACAAACCCTCCCTGTAACAACAGGGTGATACTGACATACAGAAAACCATCTTTAACATCAAAGAATTTAGGGCATGTTTCCCTGCTCCCAAACGCCTTAATACAATAAAAGCCTCAGAGATCATATTGTGACTTCAGTGTTTCCTATCTATCCAGTGAGTTCTCACCTCTTTATCCCCTCATTCAAACTAGCCAGAGTAATGCACTGATTTTAATAGGGTAGGGTAAAGAAGTGAGGAGGTGAAATTAAAGCAGGGTTTCCATGAAAATCTGCTTTAATTTAGCAAAACAGCCCAAACTAATCCAAAGAACAGACACATCTTAAATCAGAGGCAGCAGGTTGTCCCAAGGAAAGGCACCACAGAGAGTGTGCAGCACCCTTTCCCCTTCTTGCTTGAGCACGTGTCCCCAGGCAGAGCAGGGCAGTGGCAGGAAGCCAATTCAGGGACAAGCTGGGTCTGACAAATTTACAGTGATTTCTGATGAAATGTCAAGTGCAGCTACAACAGCAGCAGGCAAAACAGAGGGACTGCCCACACTGGGGATTTCAGAGAAGTAGCAGTTGCAAGGATTGTCCAACTGATATGTCACCAATGTATCAAGCCTTAACCAATGTTTTTAAATAACTGATGAGGGGATAGTGACAGACTGCATCCATTCCCTTAAGGAAACGCAGGGGAAAGACTGACTGTAATGAAGACCAAGGATGACTCCTGTAACAAGGGGAAATCATGCCTGACCAATCTAATAGCTTTCTACGATGACATGACTGGCTGAGTAGACGAAGGGAGAGCCGTGGATGTTGTCTACCTTGACTTCAGCAAGGCTTTCGACACGGTCTCCCATAATATCCTCCTAGGGAAGCTCAGGAAGTGTGGGCTGGATGAGTGGTCGGTGAAGAGGATAGAGAACTGGCCGAATGGCAGAACTCAAAGGGTTGTCATCAGCGGTGCCGAGTCTAGTTGGAGGCCGGTAACTAGTGGTGTCCCCCAGGGGTCAGTACTGGGCCCAGTCTTGTTTAACTTCTTCATCAACGACCTGGATGAAGAGTTAGAATGTACCCTCAGCAAGTCTGCTGATGACACCAAACTGGGAGGTGTGGTAGACACACCGGAAGGCTGTGC